TAAAAACGTGTTTTGAAAATTAATAAGTAATTTGTAAAATTAATTAAAGAAATATATGAATCTACGATTTGATTGTGTGTATTACAAACAAAATAAATATTGCTACAAAACATAAGTTAAATATAAAAGGTCGGCAAAATGTAAAGAATTTGACCATAAAGGAAAAGCGGGTCAAACTTGAGACTTTATGAATATCATTTAGACATTTATTTTACAATCTTTGTGATTTTTCTTTTGCGGTATTGTAATTATTTTTAATGTTTTGATTTAGAATTCGTATTTTAAAATACATTTTACATCTAAAAAAAAAGTAATTTTACATATTCGCTAACATTTACATATTTTGAAGCTTCTATTAAGTTTTTTAAATAATTTTTTGTTATTTTTAATGTGTCGCCATTATAACTACGAAAAATATGTTCCAGTTCACTACATACTACATATATCTAAAGTAACTTTTTTTTAAAGACCTATCAAAAATAAAGTATTACTTCAAGTTCTATTAAAATGGGCATTAGTATATATTATTATCTATAGAAACATTTATTAGGTAGTATCCATAGAAACATTTGCTCTGCTGTTATTAATATTAATATATAAATTCTCTGCTGTTATTAATATTAATTATTTTTATTTATATAACTAGAATTGAATCAAATGAAAAATTTAAATTTAATTTTAAAGTTTAACTTGCTGTCATTAATTTTGACAATTTGGCATTTTGGCAAGTTGTCTCGGGCTTACGTCACAAGAACATGCGCGTTGACTTATCTTGTTTTTTTATAGTATCATTGTATAATATTAGAAATGCTGCACGAACTTTAGCTTTTAGTCACAGTTGGTACATTCTTTAATTAATTAACAAATGTTTATACACGGTACCAGTTTCCTCCTGAACGTATATGGAATATTGGCAAAACTGGCCTCACTACAGTACACAAACTTCCTAAAATAATTGCTGTGAAAGGGTCGAAGCAGGTGGGCAAAACTACATTTACAGAACGAGGCGAACTGGTTACGGTGTGTGCTGGCATCAAATCTGTAGGGGGTCACATGCCTCCTTACATGATATTTTTCAGAAAAAACAGGCAGAACAGGTTTCTACATGCACCTCCTGGCAGCAATGCAACAACACACCCCAGTGGATGGATGACTTGCTCTGGTTTTCTGAAATTTTTGGAACACATTGTTCGTTTCGCTCAGCCAAGCCTAGATCGGAAACATTTATTTATTATGGACAACCATGAGAGCCACTGCTCATTGGAGGCTGCAAATTATGCAAGAGACAACAGCATCTTATTTCTTACAATTCCGCCGCACACCTCTCATAAGTTGCAGCCGGTTGCGCGCGGTTTTTGATCCACTAAAGACTTATTGCTCCCAAGCAGCTTCCATTTTTATGCTCAAATTTCCCGGAAGAACTATTACCATTTACGACATTATAGAACTGCCTGGAGATGCATTCCTCCGAGCCATGACTCCTTCAAATATCATAAGTGGGTTCAAAGTATCTGGAATATGGCCGATAAATCCAAACATATTTACTGACGACGAATTTATGACCAGCGCTGTCACGGACCGTCCAGACCCAACTTTGATTCGGGAATCAGTTCTGGATCCAATACGCCAACGCCTGGTGCTAGTACATCAATTTCTATTGTTATCTGGGGCCCTAAAACCTTGCACTCCAACATCGGATATAATGTCTGTGATACATTTTTCTCCACAAGACATCTTGCCCTATCCCAAAGCAGCACCTCGTGCCCAATCTTCTCGAGGTAGAAAACACGGTCGCTCTCGCATCCTAACTGATACCTCTGAAAAAGTGGAAATTGAAGAACTTGCTCTTAAGAAAGTCGCAATCAATTAAAAAAAAGAGCAGAAAAGCCTCCAACACTTGGAAACACTGAACTTTTGGATTCAACTGATGAAGAGGAGAATTATCTTCGCAGCCTTCCAGATAGCAGCGGTGGCTCTGATTTCCTTTTAGTTGATGAGCTTATTGATGACACGGATCCTTAGACGACTATATTTTAGTCAAGTTTTGTATTAAAAAAACAATGAAGTTTTATGTTGGAAAAGTTTTTTGCCTGAGAGAAAATACATTGGAAGTTAAATTCTTAAGGCGGAAGGAACTAGAAGGAAGCTGTTTCACTTTTCCAACAGTAGAAAACGTTAGCGAAGTGGACCGGACAGACGTACAGAAACTGGCGCAGCCATTTGTCAGCAGGACTGCTGACATTATAAAATTTAACCATAGATTTGATGCTGTTTTCTAAATAGTTGTTCTTTTTTGGCTCAATTTATTTTGGTATTTTATGTTTTTATTTAGTAAAGTAGGTAGTTTAATTTGTTTTATTGTGTAATTTAATTACCTTTCATAATTGGCAATAATTACTTATGTTATGCATCATAGGTGGGACACTTTATCCCAGGGATCAAGTAGACCCTTAACGGGGATCAAGTATCCCTCATGGACAGGGGTCCTTGAACCGCACTAGTGTTTTGCAAGAATTGATCTGCCTTATTTGTTTTACAAGAAAAATATTCTGTGGAATAGGAAGGTGAACACCCAGTGGAAGGAGATAACCACATTATGAACGTTTAATGAAATTAAGAAAATAACTGTTATGGTATGAAATAATCTTTAAACACTAAAACAGGGATCAACCATCCCAGCTCTGCCCTAATCATCAACGGTATATAAACGTTTATGGAATTTTAGGGCACTTTCAATATCTCCAAAATTACTCTCATTGGGTAAAAAACTATAACCAGTTAAGAGACGAGAGAACCAGGTAAAATGTTTTTTAAATCGTTTTCAAAATCAAAACTATTTTGATGTTGCGGTTTTGGCCACCACAAGAGTCTGACCAAAAAATTACATATTTTGTGGAAGTAAAATTTTTTCAATATATTTTTAAGACCATTGTCTACTTCCTGTGCTCCCATATCAGCTTTACCTTCCTTCCAAACATAAAAATGACCATTGTTATCCTTGCCGCTATGATTAAGGTTGTAAATACATAATTGGCGCTTATAATATATGATATTTGTTTGATTTCTTATAAGGAGGCTAGTTTTCTCTAAATCAAAACAAAAGGTTTCCACTTCTGGTTGATCGTGGCTCAGCTTCATGTTTAGCTTTCTTCTAGATTGTGCATTTTCCGCTTCTTCTAAAAGCACATTTTCTGCCCTTAAATTGGTTAATTTTTCGTCATCTGAGCAATTTTTAATTTCTAATTCTAAACAATCTCATCTACTACAGGTATCTTGTTTTAATGCTTTTCTTTAAAGATTAAATAGTGTTAAAAATATTTTTTTTCTGTGTGCTTTTTAATATACAATTCATACATTTTACTTAATGTTGTGCCTGCTGTTAAATATTCTCTTTCTGTGTTAGCTCTTCTGTAATGTGACTTGTACTTGGAGAATTTTTATTAAAGATATTTTTATTAAAAAGATACTATTTCTTTTGTTATAAAACAGCCACTACTTAACCTAACCGTCGCACGAAGTTGTTGTGTCAACAACATTCATGTACGTCTATGTTGCCAAATATTCTATTTACAATCATTAGTAAGAGGCGCTTGGTCTACTTATGCAAAACTAATACACAAAATTAGTCACTGGGTCTAGTCATGCAAAAATCCAAAATCCAAAAAAAGAAGAAAGGCTTTTGGTATTTTTAAATATTATTTCTGTTTAACGGTGTCGAAAAGGCTAATGGCATTTAGTCTATAGATAGTTTATGCCATTTCCCACTAGAAAGCGCCATAATCCACAATTTGAGAAAATTGCGCTTGGTCTAGTGATCCATAACGCCGTCCATTTAAAACTTCGTCTTGATCGTTTCAGTTTTATTTTAATAAACTGCATATTTATATTTTTTTTCTTATTTTTAAATTTCAATTAATTGGGATTATGTGCAGAGAATCCTGTTTTGTATAGTACTGTTATATTTTTTATAGTTCTAATTTATTGTCTTTATTCTAATTTATTAAAACTCACGATAATTTATTATAAATTTATTAAATTACTTTACAATCATTTATCACGTTCGTACATTTTAAACCACGTTCCGCAAGTTTCTTTTCTTCACTGACTGCTCAATGAAAATCTTCCGTTATTTATTTGAAACCAGCTGGTAAATAGAATGTTGTGGAAAATACGATGCCGTTCTCGACGTAGACACAGCGGCAATGATCTAAAAACTGGTATCGGTGCGATTCCAGAAAGCAATCAATCAATCAGCGTTCATTCTTTTAGGAAAGGTAAGGGATATCTTTATTTCGAGGGGAGAATGATTTGTGTCCGTTTAGGGTCGGTTGACCCTCTTTAGACTAGAGTTAAATGTTTTGTTGTTGTTCGTACAAAGGCAAACGCCCGGAAACCACCGGCGTAAAGATCTTCTCCGTTTTCTTCTGGTGTTGTGGTCCAGAAAGCTCGTATTTGTTGTTTTTATAGCGAAGGGAAATCCATCGTGTGGCAGGTAGATTTTGACCTAGACATTACGAGAATCAATAAAAAAGAATTAGTCATAAAATATTTACAGTGTTATACGCCATAACATTTTATCATAACAGTACCTTCTTGTGAGCTGCTTTTTTACTCCAGGAGATTTTTTACACTAAGTATGTCACTACTTATTCAATTTCACTTCTAATGATAATTAGTTTAAGTGTTGCTCTTTCATCATTTACTTTAAGTTGTCTTCTCCAGTATTTGGTTGAAAAGGTACTTTCTATATACAAATTACTCAGCAGAATTATACAAACATCGGTAGCCTCCTCAGTAATGAGTGTACTTGACATTCTTGTTTGAAGTGTTTTATTTCTCGTTCAAATCGCTGAGTTGTATTATTCAAGTTGGTCTTATTCGCAGGATTTGTTGTCTAACAAGACACAAGACGCAATTGATAAATATGTAAATATGAATAGATAAAATGATAACAAAGGCTTAAAAAATTACTATATTACTAATGGAACTACAGTTTATTAGCTAATCATATATACACAACAAGAGAGCTAACTGTTAAATTCTAAAATCCTATTTAATGAGATGGTAATTATTAATAAACTATTTCCCAAACTGAAGGCTTCTGACAACCACTACCGGTACAAAAAACGTTGTATGTAGTATCTACTGGGAAACCTAAAATTTCCCTCTCTTCTTGAATTCGAAACGAGAATGTGCTTTCATGGGTTCCAATAAAATACCTAGCATAAGAGCAGATTATTTGATCAATAATTGCCAAACCACCGTCTTTGTATTTTTTCTCTATTTTAGAAGGCGCGCTGTATTTCACTACGTTGTATCCTTGAAGAAAACTTGTTAAATCGTTGAACTCTGAAACAATTAAAGTTTATAATTGGCTACTGTTTTTACACTTTATATTAATAAATATATTTGAAAGGACACTTTCAACAGAAGGTAGATAATTTAAAGTAATATAATATAATACTGGTCAACCGCACATCACACAAAGCAACTTCCCATGATAGACCAGATGAAAGAAGCAGCCAAAAAACTGAAAAACAACAAATCACCCGGCTCAGACAACATCGCTGCAGGCTAAATATCAGGGAAATGGAATATTGGAGTAAAAGTCTTCAACGCACAAAAAGGGGGGCATTTTTACAGACAAAAATGACCATAGAACGGATATTTGACTTAAGACCCATTCTAGAAATAACTGCGAAATATAAAAGAGGCAGACATGATATCTATATTGACATTGATATAGTATATGATAATATTAATAGAAAATGTCTAATCAGTGCATTAAAATAATTCAATATACCAACGCAACTAATCAATTACAGCAAAGCAAAATATATGTTCGCTCTATAGTAAAATTCATTAAGCGGTGCAGGAAAATATAAACATTAAATCGTGTCCGAACCGGTATGAACCGCCGATAACATCGCCAGACGAAATAAAGATGGACATTCCGGTTAGTTTTTAAATATTTTTGAAAAACTGTTACTTGCATTTATGCATAAAATATTCATTAATTTTATAAATCGGAGTATTTTTTCACTTACTTTGTATTCAGTGATAACAATAATTTATTTACTTTGCAATAAACACGAATATTTGAGAAAAGAAAAAAAAATAATAAAGTGTCATAAGTATACTGTTACTTATCGGAACGAGTAGACTCATTTGTAACATCTTTAACAATTATCTGTTAAATTTATCGTTGTTTATATGCCCTGCACCGCTTAATGGAATAAGGTATAGTAAATCAGCAGAACTAAGGTAAAGATCATTCACAATGTCGTGGTCCTGACGTAATCACTTAGTGACGTCGATCTACGAACGAAACAATGATATCAGGCATTGCTAAAAACATGTAGTTCTCTTCAGTGCGTTATCGTAGCGAGACAGAGACGAACTGGTTTTTGCGTTAGTGAAATAGCTTTAATATTTTTATTTTTTTTTGCAACGAATTGCGAGGTTTATGATGAATTTAAAATCAAAATGTTATTATTTTTCTATCATACATTGATTTGTTATTTATGTATTTGTTCTCTAGATTTTATGTAAATACTTTACATTTTTACACAACAATAATTCTTATCGGCAGTGAAGACAGGAAGTAGTAAATTTTTATTACATCTTTCAATGTGAGATAAAATAAAAATGCGATGACTAACTGGAATGTTTAAGAATAGAGAAACATAATATGTCATGTTTATTGAAAATACTTGACATCATTAGCACGTGCAAATCCTACCCTGTCGCCTAATTTCCTATGAAATTTAAATTATGCATGTTTTTAGGATCCATTTATTTTTTCGGGCATGTGTATTTACGAGGTTCACGTGGTTTTGAAACATGTTTAACAACACATTAAATATAACGATAAGAGAGATATAGCTTTGAAATCGTGAATAACTTTAAATATCTAACTTCACCAGTCAGCAACATTATTATCTGCCCTGTGTGTTTCCTGTGTGCTTGTGGCGTTTAATTTAAATGACGTTCTATCTTCGTTGAAAATTATTTGTAGCTGTAAAAAATCCACTCGTTGAATAATGGTGTGTATATTTTAAATGGTTAATAAACTCGGTTTCATCGTTCTTGGCGTGTGCCTGAAATAAGCTACTACGGAATTTTGAATATTCGTCTCTCTCTGATACACAGTAATTCAATTGTGCGAGTCACGTTTGTCATGGTAAAGTGCGATGAGAAGAGAATGAAGAGACCACTCACGTCTCCCAGTATTGTAGCAATAACACCGATGCGTTTGACCGATACGGTGTCGGTGATAAGTTCGGCCTCTTTACGAATACTGATAGCTGCCACTGGAGGAGGTAAACGAATCGAGCTTAGACAAGATGAAACAAGAAAGACAGATGAAACAACTTATTGCATGTGTTTTTACACGCACACGCCAAGAAAGATGAAAACGTCTATATTCTTATTTTATTGGTGTAGCCTATAACGTAAACCAGATTGCAGTTTAAGTCGAGCTTACGCTGTAAAATCAATTTAACAGTTCAAGTTTTACAGAGGAATATTATGAGTTTTAAAACAATTTTTGGGTTGCAGCCTTGCAGCTGAAAAGGTTGTATTCGACAGGTATACGGGACTCAAATACCTCAGTGAATGAGAGTAGAGGATTTGCTTGACGGTCACAGATGTCCGCCAGTGCAGTAATAGTGTTAGTAGTCGCAGCTCAAATTTAAATATTTCTCATATTAAATAAAGGAATCGGCCAATTAGTAAAAAAGTTTTAAGAGAAATAGATAACGACAGTAGACCGTAGGTATAATTGACTAATTAAACACCTGAGACCAACTTATCAAGAAAATCAAACTTAAATGTTTAAAACTAGAATAAGGACAGTCTCTACATACCAATCATAAACATGAACATAGTCATAATCCCTGAATTTATGATACCTAAGAATCTTCATAATATTGTCATTGTACAGATCCAAAACAAAACTATTGTCCTATAAAAAATCACAAAAACTCTTGTTAAGACTCCGTCCTAACGATATTCATTATTTTATTTTTAAAACGTGGGTAGGCCGCGGAACTGTGAGCCCGACTCTGGATCCTTCGCGGCAGTTAAAGGCGCCACCAGGGCGAAGAGACAAGAAATGACCGCCAAATCGCCACGAGTAAAGGGTTACCGCCAGTGTAAAAAAGACTTCCAACGCACAAAAACAATTCAATTCTCATACACTCACACATTTTAATGTTATTTTAAGTTTTTGTAATCTATTTTAATTTATAACGTTGAATAAACACGAAAAAAAATATAATGTGTTTAAAAATCTATTGGGAAACATCCCAAACAACTCTTGAAAACTAATAGAAAAAATAGCCTACAAAATATTGATGGACGATATTAAAGACATTGAATTGGGATTAAAAGGGTCTTTATGTTTTCATTGCAAAAGATCTACCACATTTAGCTGCAACGAGGAAGTTACATATAAGTAACTGATAAAGGTGCAAGTATGTGAACAATATGTTTTTTAAGGAAAATTGTAGCGGTTTCGAAAGGTATGTATACTCCAACAAAAATTAGAATTATTTACCTTCCTGAGTACCATCGGTGGCAACAAATACAGTTTTTAAATCGAGGTTATTTAAAACCTTCTTGATTTGATCAGCGGCTTTTTGAAGAGATGGTGCTTCTGTTGGTCGATTTCTAACGAAATCTCTTCTTCTTAGATGTATGCCTACATATGGTCCTCCAATTGCGTTTCGCTTTGGCTAGAATAGAAAATTTTGGTTAAATGCACGTAAAGGTTAAAGATACATATGAAGGGTAAAAAAACAGTCAGGTATAAACTAAGATATTAAAATAAAATAAATAAAAAACTAATATTATCAGTTAGCTTTAAACGGCGTTTAGTTCTAAAAGTCGAAAGTTATTTCAATTTGAACAAAAATAATATGGGTCCATTGACATCTGTTATGGTAGTTCAGAAACGCACACGCGATGTTTGCGGTATCTCAGAGAGGACATTCCGAAGAATTAATATCATGAGTGAGGATGAAATAAATAAAGTAAGCAAGAGAAATCGTCGACATCCAAAAGCTTTCGATTTTGTACCAGTCAATTAAAAAGTGCAATTAAAAATAGTATATGTAATATGTATAAAGCCAAAGAACATGTAACAGTTAGTGCTGTGTTACAAAAAATAAAAGACAAGGAACTATGTGATATTAGTTTAACAAGTTTGTGGAGAGTGCTGAAACATTTAGGTTTTCGATATAAAAACACAAATACTAGACAAGTATTGTGTAAACTCTCTAATGTTGTTTCAAAACGGTGGCATTTTTAAGAAAATACATGAAAATGGAAATGTGGATGCAAATATTTTTGAAGAATGGTTTGAAGAAAACTTGTTAAAAAAATTGGAGCGACCATCCATAATAGTGTTGGATAATGCATCCTACCACTTAAGAGTATAAGAGAGATTTCCCTCAAGCAGCTGGACAAAAGAAGAAATAAAGTTGTGGTTGACAGAAAAGAACATTTATCACAGTGACATATTTTTAAAAGTCGATTTACTTCAAAGGTGTGGAGAGCACAAAATTCAAAAGAAATTTGTTGCTGACCAAATGGCTCTTAAATGTGGCCATGAAGCTCTTCGACAGATTTCTTTTAATGCCATCAGAGTAAATAACAACTAAGTAAGCTACTACTACGGGTTTCTATTATACTAAGACTAACACGCTCACGCCTTTACCGCATACATACGACCTCAAATATTGATTTCAGCAAAAAAATGAAATAGATCAAAAATGTCCCACTTAACGCTAAAAAATGTGTAAAAAACAAATTCTAGGAAATTGCATTTGCACAAATTTCAGTCCGTATCATTTTTGTCGACAAGTTGAAAGTGGCGGAGATATTGAGCAAAAACGGTTTTCGTTTTTCATTTTCAAATTCAAGATGGCGGATAACGTAACGATTCAGTCGCGATTTTAAATTTACGATACTATTGAAGCTCCTCAAAAGTTAAGGATGAAGCAGGGAGTTGGGGCAGCGTGCCATGAAAGGCTGGACCATTTTTTCGTCTAACCCGTCTGGACTAACTATGGTTTTCTATAGAGTTGGATTTGCAGATACCTGAGCATGATTGATGATAGGCAAGTATCTTTTAATAGCGATAACATGCTAGTATTAAACACATTTCGAATACTGAGACTGAAAACTATTTAAATGTTTTTAATAATACGGGGTGATTATTGTTAAAATTTAAAAATCACAAACACAAAACATAATAACTTACCAAACTTGAGAAGGTAGATGAAAATAAAAATTTGTGGATGTGGATGACTTGGATACACGGACGAAATTAACTCATCACTTTTACATTTTAAACATACAGAATAATAAATGATAACTTTAAATGTACTGTCTCTTCAGAGACTGGTAAACAGAATAGCGAAGTATGGACAAGAGTACGGTATAACAATGAACGTCAAGAAGACGAAATTTATGAGAATATCGAAAACTCAAAGAAATAACGAGAATATTTTAATAAACGGAACCAACGTCGAACAAGTAGACAAATATGCATATCTGGGAACAATGATTAACTCCACAAATGATTACATTCACGAGATCAAAATTAGAATAGAAAAGGTTAGAGCAAATTTCAACAAAATGAGAAGAGTGCTATGTACAAGGGATTTAAAATTGGAACTAAGAATTAGGTTGGCGAGGTGCTATGTTTTTTCGACTTTGTTTTATGAAATGGGATCTTGGACCTTGAATGCGACATCAATGAAAAAACTGGAATCATTCGAGCTGTGGGTGTATAGAAGAATTCTGAAAATATCGTGAAGAGAACACGGCACAAACAAAGAGGTTCTGAGAAGGATGTATAAAGAAATAGAAATTTTAAATACAATTAAAACAAGAAAATTGGAATATCTCGGACATATTACACATGGAGAGAAATACACCTTGCTTCAACTGATTATGCAGGGAAAGATTCAAGAAAAAAGAAGCAAAGGGAGGCGTAGAATGTCATGGCTGCACAACCTGAGAGTGTGGTATGGATATACATCAAATGCACTTTTCAGAGCAGCCGTCTCAAAAGTCCGAATAGCTAGTCTCCATCGAGGAGATGGCACTTGAAGAAGAAATGTACTAATGTATTCTTAACTTCTAAATAGGCTGAGTTTCTTCGGAATTCCTATGTCCAAAGATTCGCTGTAAGCTAAAGCTTTGTAGATGCTGTTCGTCATAAAGTAGCAAAGCGAGGTGGTTGACATTTTTCAGACCGTAATTGTGAACCTGTAATGAAATTATCATCACAAATCTGAGGTCAGAGTATCATAGCTGACAACCAAAATCAAGCGATGATTGCCCCTAGTTCGCACAGACCTAAATTAAACAATATATTTAAGAAAGATTTACTTAAGCTTGCCAATGCCTATGAATCTGGTAATTAAGAGTAAAAGAGTGTCCACGAAGTACTAACGTCAATTTAGCCAATTAATTGTATTGGTTTCTATTGTTAAAACTTTTGCTATTTTTTTAGTTGTCTATTTTGAATGTTTTATGGATAAAATAAAATTATTGGTTTTAAAAATTTTCAACAGATAATTGTATATGTTAAGATAATACATAAGTTATTAAAGCAAATGTGGTTAGTTTTTTTCGTCCAGGAGTTTATAATTGAGTAGACAAGCTTTTAAATTATATATAAATCTAGAAGTTATACACTATAAACTAAAAATTTACATTAAATTGGTACTTTTTCATCAGTCCACATTTCAGGAAGAAGAGTGTTATCTGATGCATCTGTTGAATTTAGAACAGTTTTCCTAAATTCATTTGCAATTAGTTTCAGTTCCTTGCTAAATCTCATACTTCTTCTAGCTTCCCAATATAATTTGCTTCCAAAAAAATCATGAAGTGTTACCTCTGCATGGTTTAGTAGTATAATCCTGAAAATAATACATAATATTATTGCAAATTTGTAGGTATACAGATTAATCTGAATTGGAGAAAATGAAGTAAGAGTACTAGAATTTGATTGTAGGTTGGTCAAATTCCTTGAGAATAGTAATGGGAATCTTACAGATGGAAATTCATGTCATACATGCCAACAGTTAAAAATGCTGTTAAGGTAGAACTCGCAAAACAAATATATAAATCTTGTCGGATTATCCTAGACAGGCAGTAACAGGTAACAGGACAATTCAAATATCAATCCGGCACATCAAGGTACAAATAAAAATGAGGAAGCTCATATAGGCAAAGTTAGTTTTCCTGTTACCAAAACAAAATCTCATAGCTTTAATACGCCAACCAGGTAAAAGAAAAGTTTAAAAGGGTTATAAATGTGCTAAAAATTATGTTATACTTTCTCCTCTTCTGTTCTCGCTCTAGAGGCGAGAGCTTTAAACAAATATTGCTCAGAAAAAAGCACAATTGTGAAATAAACTAATTTGAAAATCTGAAAAAACTCATGATAATATCTAGTCACAAATATCAATATCAAATTCTACTTCGTTTTACACTTCATAAAAAAATTTATATAAGAGACATGTTCCATGTTTCTTTAATATTAAACTTTTTATAATATTGTCTTAGAATAATGCTTACTTGGCACTAGTGTTTACAAACAATTCTGTCAGTTTCGTGGCTGGTCCATGATAAGACAAGCATTTAACGTCTTTAGCTGTTATATTCTTGTAAAATAAATAAGTTTTATCATGTGTTCTTTGGCATTTTTCAATATTCATTCTTTCTTCGAAATTTCCAGTTTCGAACATATCTTCAAAATGTTGGAGGTTATATACTTCATCAATAACTACTTTGGTGTATTTATTTGGATATACTGAAAATAAAATATACACATGAAATGTGGAGCAGATAGAAAGTGTCAAAGACTGTGAGATTGAATAGAATACAATAAAAATGGCGAGAGCAACATTCAAGAAAATGGCACCATTTTATGCCATGATAATCTAAACTTAAAACTAAAATAATGAATGATAGAATGCACCTTTAGTCTATAACAAATAAGCTATGACTAAAATGAGATTTTTATTTTTTATCAATAAGTAAAGATTCTAAACTGTATTAATATGCATGCTTTTTCCAATCTATGGAAAGATTCCAATTGAGTGGACAAAAAAGTTATTTACGAGTACTGGTCAACTAAAGGTTATTTTTGAAAAAATAGTGTTTTCATGTGAAAAATACAGATGGTGTGTACTATAGACACTCAACATTATATTAAAATGTTAGAATTACTCACTATCAAAAAATTCATACATTTCTATTACAGGCGCAAATTTTTTTAGACTCTCTACATCAAAATAAAGTCCCCATGGGATTTGCTCAGGGTAGTCTCTATAAGTCCAGTGAATTAAGTGTGACCATGGAGGGAGCACTAAAGAAAATGAATTCAATTCACTATTGGATGATTGTTTCATTTTATGTGCTAAGACAGCAAGACGCATATAGACATCTCTTCTTAGATTGAATCCTTCAGGTCTGTTAACATCATATAGTAAATATCGCCTACAACAAAAAAATAGGGCATATAATGTTAGGTATACAAAGATATGTTCAACATATATGTCTATTTAAAAAAAATAGTTTGAAATTTTTTAAGTTCAGTACATTTTTTAAACAAAAATATTTTGATCCTCTCTTTTTTTTTGAGTTTCTTTATGTACAGTATTTTGAATCTGTTGTGGAATTTACATGTAACACATTGCTTGTCGTCTCAGTCTATATGACAGAGAAAAAAATTTCCCTGCATGCCAGGGAGGTCTATTTACTGAGAATTTTAATGTAACCGTGGTGCAGGCTCGGTCACTATGGCGTGAATGTAAAGTTTACAAAATCCTCTATGGCAGGCAATGGTTAAATGATGCTGATTGATAAAGATTACAATAGTTTGGATTAATTGTATTTAATTAAATCTACTAGAAAAACATTTTAGTAAAATAAACTGATGAGTGAAGTTTTGGCAAGTAACTTACTTTGAGCTTAGGGAACAATTTTGTTCATTTTTAAAACAAAAGTCTTCTGGATTAGAGGAATGTATTCTTACAATACAGAATATTAACAAAATTGTCATGCACTTCCAATATAACTTATGGCCAAATAAAGTATTCATAATTAACAAGAACAAAATGTAAACTTTGAGCAAAACTATTTGTGTTTTTTATAAATCATAATCATTTAATTAATTATTTCAAACATTTTAAACCCTTTTGAGATTGTTAAGATAGTTTGTTTTGATTTGACCATTGACATTGATGTCAATGTCTATTTTGATGTTTCATAGAGTGTTGCCAGGTGTTTGAAATAAAAATCGATAAAGAACATCGCAAAATTTCTGTAGATTTGGTATAGTGAAATTAAATACTCAACTTTATAAACAAAACTTTTATTAAACCACGTGTATTTATCCACGTACATTGCATTGTTAAAATTTGTAAGGCAGTTGTTTGGTACAGGAAAAGTGAAACATGTATCTTTATTATTTATCATTTAGTATTTAAAAGTCCCGATATAGATAAGGAATTTAACTACATAGTTCATCTGCGTCGTCTTCATTAAATTTATGGCCGAAAAAAGTATCTCTACATTTGCGTAAGGGTGTGAGAGAGTTAATAGATCAAACACAAATCTAGATAGTATTGGAATAATAATATCATCAAATTCTATTTCAGTATTCTTTAGATGATGCCATTCATTGTCAAGACTTTGCAATTCCTTGCCTTTAATTAAATTCGGAAAACGAAGTGCTATTTCTATTAATGAAGCAATAGTTCCATTCTTTACAAAAGAAGCGGATTTAAAAATTCGAATTTGCTAAAAATATTATTTTTTAGCGGGAATCGGGTAAATATTTAGCTACAACTTTGCACATAAAAATCTACACCTCTAAGTTTTGCCCGTTACATTTTGTACAAGTGAATTGGTTTTGATACTTCCACAAGAAATTCCAGCGGCTATTTTAGAATCCGGAAATAGTGTTTTCAGAAGTGGGAACAAATTATCCATTAGTAGGATCAACCAAAAGAATTTCATATGAAAATTTGTAAGTAATATAAGCTTTGCATTAAAGAAAACATACCTACTATGCTTACCCGTCTTAATATCCTTATCTAGCGTCGTGTTGCTCTTAAAAAAGTCTCTATTGGTTTTTGTGATTTATATACTAGTCTTTGCTGATTTGATGTGGTTTTTTTAGTTGCAATGCTCATCAGCAACACTTGTAACAAGCAAACTCTTTTTCTTTTTTACTTAAAGTTCGCTATCCTCTAAAAATCTCCTCATTTTTCACGACTCTTTGTATTTCTGAATGTACTTTATTATTTTTTACTGGACCACCACTGGTTCTTTCGCCACTGAAACCCTCTACTTGGAAGTGATGATAGAATGAAACTAATGTAATGATAATGATAGCTAATATATAGTGTCGAAGTTCGAAATAGTTCCTGGGGAACCACAACTACAACAGTTTCGGGGAATTACGCGCTCGACGTGATTGAATTGGTTGAAAGTCATTTTTAAACAACATTTAGCCAAATTAGGTATCAGACTATTCTTTTATTTCTTATGCATTGTTCTGGATACGAGTTTTTGTTTTACTAAAATTTTTACATTTTCATTTTTCTATAGTAGTACATTTTCATTTCGGTAGATTTTTTGAGTTTCTATATCATTAAATTAAATATCGGTAGATTTTTGTTTCATTTCGGTATATCGGTAAACTGGAGCCAAACTCAGTAGATCTATAAACATTTTTGTAGCCTTGGCAACACTGGATAAAATTCATAGCATAGACATAGAATTTATAGCATAGAATATCAGATGACATAGTTTAATTCGTATTCTATGGACGAGACGTAAATTTTGTGTTTTATGTTTCTGATAATGAGTGACGTGATTTGCAAGGTGAGATTGACAGTAGTGACAGGTAATAAAAATAGGTTAGTATTACATAACCACAATAAACAAACTTTACAACAAAAGCTTAGCAACTAAAATTATGTATCCAAAATTGTTAGTCAAATAATCCACATATGGAATATAAATGCCAATTAGTAGTAGCGCGGCTACTGTTGTATGTTAAATTATTCAATACTGTAATGCATTTTACTAAATCTATTTTTTCAGGAAAAGAAGAAAGCATTTAAATTACAAAATCAAGTAAAAAGTATTGATCATAATGAGCGACAGGCTGAAAAGAATCTTTTAAAGATAGGTCCTGCTTTGCCAGGAAAAACCAAACGCAATTTTTATGTTAGATCACATAGTACTTTAAATGCATCTGCTATTACAAAAATACATGATACTCCAGTCTTTTGTGAAGCAGTTACTTTACGTACACATTCTGATGGATTGTTACACGTATCACGAGTACAAGAAGAAAAAGAAACACATCCTGATAGGATTAGTTTAGATAGACGTGGACTGAACTCAATTCCAATTATTGATGGAGAGCCCAAGCTCCGTCTGTTATCTATGCAACATAATTTAGTTACTACTTTAGAAATGATTGCAAAACAGTCATTTCCTACCTTAGTTTTTTTAGATATTTATGACAACCAATTAGAGCAGATCCAGTACTTAGATGAGTTGACAAACTTAAGGGTTTTGTTAATGGGAAAAAACAGGTAATTAAAATAAATTAATTCTAGCAGTTTGTATCATTGATTATTTATATTTTTTAGAATTAAAAAGATAGAAGGACTAGATAATCTTACAAATGTAGAAGTTCTTGATCTTCATGGCAACCAAATATCCCAAGTTGGAGGTTTATCAAGTTTAACAAGTTTGAAAGTGCTTAATTTGGCGGGTAACCAAATTCGAATTATTGGTGTTAAAGATATAGAAGGCCTGCAATCTTTACAAGAATTAAATTTGAGAAGAAATAGGCTAAAGAAATTGCTTGGATTTGCTGAAGTTCCTAATTTAGTTAAATTATTTCTTAGCAATAATGATTTGCAATGGTATGTATTTAAAATAGCAGAACTAATCAGTTTTACAATACACCCATAAATATGTACCTAATCACATTCTGCTTATTTGTTGTATTCTCATTTTTTTCTTCCTCATACTGATATGTTCTTAATAATTTTCAATTTTTTTTATATTGAAGTTACTGTTCTTTTTAATGAATAATTTATGCTTTAGTAGATTACCCCCATACTTTTCTTAGTTGTCTTATTCCTCTTTTTGCATCTGGTGATTTATATAAATGGGCTTCTTTATCGGTCCTACTGAGTTCTATAAAATATATTATTCTACATTAGTAGTATCTATTATCTGTCTTCTTTGTTTTTAACTGTGTAGTTAAATGATTTTTTTATTTCCACATTTGCATGACTATATTTTCAGGCTGCATGCAGCAATTGCTCTAGTCACTATAGTTGTATAGCAAATCGAAACTTTTTCATAATCTTTTACTTTTAATTTTGTAGTGTAGAAGACATAAGCAGTTTAGCCAAATCTTCAAATATTAAAGAAATATCAATAGACAATAATCCAGTATTATTGGGAGGAGACTGTATATCTTTTTTGGTATCTTATTTACCTCTTCTAAATAAACTCAATTCAATGCAAATAACTGAACAAGTGCGAAAAGCTGCCATGGCATGGAGAAGAAATAAAGAAGTCTCCAATTCCACATTTATGGATCTCACCAATGATGTCTCATTAACATGTCGGCGAGAAGAAGTTATCTCTAATGCTAGAACAAACTGGGAATTTTTAAGGTCGCAAACAAAATGTTTAACAAACAATGGAAATGTTGTTGAAAAAAGTTTAAAAAATCTTAAGCCAGATTTAGATTTTATTATGACTCCTTTACGTAAATCTACATCTACTCCTATTAGACCAGTTAAATCAAAGTCATGTACGAAAGTTCCTGTTTTACCTGATAAAAAGTTTAATCTATTAAGAACCTCTTCTCAAGAAACTGAAAATTCTCAGAATACTTCATCTTCAAACGAATATTTTAAACTACCTCCTATATTGGTACCTATTATAAACAAAATGGAAGAAAAATCTTCAGATCAAGGAAAACCAGGTAGTCTTACTAGTGTTGGTCCCAATATAGACAGTTCTGTCAGTTCAGTGGCAAGTAGTAGTGAAGTCGATGCTGCTGAAACAACATGTTCATGCATTTCTAAAGAATCTGATTCAGATAATGAATCAGAATGTGATGTTGATATTATAGCAGACGAACTAATGAAGAAAATTCCGCAAGAGTAAGTAGTAAATGTTCAGGATTATAAAAAAAAGTATTATGTTATAATTTATTTATTTATTTATCGTATGGCACTTGACACATTTACATTTAAATTTACATATATTTTGTATAAAACATAATACATATGTTTACAAAAGAACATCTAACTTATTTATATAGTCTATCGACTCTGGAGTCGCCATTAGGAAATCCTCTGACCTGCCTTGATAGGATCTTGTGTGTGGTAGGAATAATGTGACAGATGGTTTGGGATTGTCCGCAGTCACAGAGTGGGATGTTCATTTACCCCATGTGTGCATCATGTAACCTCATCGGCCATATTGGGTTCTGATTCGGTTCAGCATAGTTATGCTGAACATTTTGTGTTATGCAAACTTCATCATTTTGTGTTATGCAGGGTAAGCTGCTATTTTGTTGTTCCATCCATTCTCGAGTCCAAGTGGTTGTTAAGTTGAACTCATTTTTCACAGCAATCTGTGCTGTTTTTATTGGCGGTCGTCTGGAGTGTAAACAGTTACCATTGGCAGCATCTATATCTTGATGAATTGGCAGGATCTCGTTACTAAGTATCTTTTTATACTCACTAGTGAGGGAGTTTTTGTGCCGTAGTTTGGGTGGTGGGATGTGGCTCAGTACTGGGAGCCATTGCGTAGGGGTGAATTTGATAACACCATCAGTCATTCTCATTGTACTGTTCAATTGGGCATCTACTTTGTGTATATGTAGGCTGTTAAGCCAGGCTGAAGAGCAGTAGTAGCTTCTGCGGTTGAGAAGACAAGGCTCAAGGCAGATGATCCCAAGGTGGAAGCCGATGCTCCCCATGTTATGTCGCACAGCTTCTGGATGATGTTGTTTCTGGATTTAAGTTTTAAATAAAAAGATGTAATGTGCAAACAATAACTTTATTATTGAACTTACAAAAACTACTATTGCATTATTTGGAAGAAGCATTATAAAAACAATATGCAATATGAACAGAGTTTCCTAAATATTTATCATTGGAACTAACGTAAGAAAGACGTTATGAACAGAGAAATCATCAATTACAAAATGAATTTCTTTATTTTTCAGTATTTAGTATTACCACCCCTAACCCTAATTTCACCTTCCAATGACTTTTCTAATAAATTCTTGAGGCATTGCTTCCCATTAATCATTAAGCGCAGCTCTCAATTCCATTATACTCCTTGGTGCATGATTTCTGTCCCGTATCCTTTGTTTAAGATCATCTCAAACAATAAACATGCTCTGTTGGATTTATGTCTCGTGCGGTATGGCATCGTGCATTAAAATTAAGGCATCACCAATAAATCCCTCGTATGAAACCAAATGTTCCTCTAAAACGTCTCTGATGTAACGATTCGCCATTAAACCTTCTCCATGTCCTCCACCAGGCACGAAAACCAACTCAGTTTTCCCATCCATTGAAATGCCTGCCGAAAACATACAAGAACCGCCTCTATATGACACAATTTCTAGTATACAACATTGAGCAAATCGCTCTCCTGGCCTTCTATAGACTCATGTCTCTTGTCGTTGCCATGTAGGCAGATCCTACTTTCGTCTGAGAATAATATCTGACTTTATTGATAGTCATCTCAATCCAGATGTTCGCGAGCAAGTTCTTATCGCCTTTGCTTCTGTATATGCTTCTGATATTCGAAATGTAACTCACGAGAAGAGTCTAAAAAATATACTTACAGATACATCTCTATTGTCAGACTGTATATAAGATGAGTGATCATCAATAGCATCATCTTCATCTAACTCACTGTCGTTAGAATCATCTAGCACTGGTCTTATAATAATATTTTAATTTCTACTACCCCCATTTGTATCTTGGAATACACAATGTGCACTTTAAAATCATTAGAAGGGAGAAGATTAGTTTTCTAACTGAATTTAATTTTGGTGTTGCGTAAAAGCAACGCTATGCAATATGGAGTTAAATTTTTAAGTTATTTTAAACTTTTGTTTTCATGCAGTGGTGGATTGTTATTAAAATTATTTAAAAAATAATAATTTTCATGTTGATCTGATGATACAGGGTGTTATTAATGGGTCATACAGTATAATGTGAAATCATCACAATTGTTAAATTGCAACTAATTCCAGTCGTTTTTAAGGTGTAATTTAATTTTTTTCCACTTACGACGTGGAAACTTCAAATAAAGCCATTTCAATTTACCAATTCAGTTTCTATAACGAAAAAACAAAATGCTTGCTCTTCTCAAAAAAGCGAAAAGATGATAATTCAATTTTAACATTGAATGGTAAAAATCTGATCTTCATAAAAGCAATAAAGTTCCTCGGTCTTACATTTGACAAAACATTGAATTGGAAAAGTCACATTAAAAATCTAAAAGGTACTTGCCAGCAAAGCATTAATATTTTGAAGACACTGTCGAACATCACCTGGGGCAGCGATACGGCAACTCTTCTACGAATCTTTTCATCCTTAGTTCGATCAAAAATTGACTACGGCTCAGTGGTATATAACTCAGCCAAGAAATCTGTTCTTAAAGTACTAGATTTAATTCAAAATACAGGACTGCGAGTCCTTTTTGGGTGCCTTTCGAACAAACCCCATACTAAGTATATGTAGTGAGTCCGGGCAAACCTCTTTAGCAAAACCCCAAAATTTAATAAACATGAATCCCCACCAGCCATATTAATAAACAACTTCAAAGATATGGATAGATTTAGCGACTACCGACAGATCTACACAGATGCATCAAAAACAACGGACGGAGTCGCCGCAGCCATGTAATACTCATAATGCTAAATTTAAGTTGCATAACAACTGGACTATCTCCAACGCAGAACTATACGCAATCCTTGAAGCTCTAAAACTCATTAACAAAACGAACCAGAGAAATTACACAATCATAACTGACTCAATAAATGCCCTTTGTGACATTCAAAACATATACTCCAGCAATCCTATTCATAAAGACATTTACAAAGAACTTCAAAATGCTGCAAAGGAAAACAAACACGTGGTATTAATCTGGGTTTTATCTCATATTGGAATACACGGTAACGAGGTTGTGGACCGTCTAGCTCACGAAGCAGCGACAAGTGATGGTCAAGTGCAATTAAATAAAATAGTGCCAAGTGATCTTAAATTGTGCTTAAAAAACATAGTTAGTTGTGCGTGGCAAAACAAATGGTCGCAGTGTTCCGAAAAACTAAGGCAAATTAAAGACAATGTTTTACAAAAACAAGCCTTTGTGTTACCTAGAAAAAAACAAGTCATCTTTTCTAGACTTCGACTGGGTCACACCCGCCATACACATCTTTACCGAATTACAAGAGACAATCTTCCATACTGCAACCAGTGTCAAACCAACAGTACAGTTAAACATATTTTAACCGAATGTCAAATTTTCCAGGAAACGAGAAGTAAACTCAACCTTCCCAGCGACATAGGCGAGCTTCTTAGAGACAATAATCATCTATACAATGTTATAAAGTTTTTAAAGGCTATAGGCATAAAAGATATTTAAATTAAAATCTAGTCTGTACTTACATTACATATATCAATCTTCTTCCATGTTAGTACGTAATTAATATTATAACCTTTCTTTGTTCTTATATGTATTTTCCATTGTTGTCGTCTATAACTAAAGTAGTTCGGACGACATTAAATAAATCCATAAAAAAAATTTACCAATTATTTGTAATACAATTATTTTTTTTTTATACAATTTTATATTCTGCATCTCTTTAAACCAAATATTTTATTATCTGCTTTTAGTGATTCTTTAGTAAAATCTACTGACTTTGAAGAATGTAGAATAAAAAATTGTGGATCGGCCGATACTTCTAGTGTTCTATCTGGAGTAACCACACTCTCAAATATTTCAAACCCAAGTAATTCTAGTGGAGAGAATCTTAGCAAGACTTTTACAAGAAATATTAGAAGTGCCGTGCACAGTAAGACGATACCAACGAAATGCCTTTCTAGAGCAGTTACTGCCAAGACAAAAAAACAGAGTTCTCCCGCTTTGCCAAAAGATAGAGAACAAGGTAAGTTGAAACGTGTCTTCTTTCTATATTATCATTATTCTGATCATCGATTTATTTTTCAGGTGGTGATTACCTTATAGAAATTTGTGGCAGACATTTAAATGTGTATGGACAAGGCGCGTTAAGATTTATTGACAAAATTTGGAACGTCAGTAAGGCACAAGATGTCACAACAATAAAATTTAATTACGTTAACTTTAACAGCGTAACTGGAGTACTGAGCAAAATTAAACATAGATTTCCTAATGTCGGACATTTCGTATTCAAAGAAACTAATATCACTTGCTTGGGACAGTTAAATGCCCTAGCTGAAACTCAAGGTCTAACTTCATTGTGTATTGACCCTGAAGGAAATGCAATTTGTGAGAAAAAGTGGGAAAGTTATGCCATTTTCAGATTGGCGCATTGGGGATTAAAAAACATAAATGAAAAAGAGGTAAATATTTTTGTATTATAGCTAATAAAAAAAAGATACAACATACTGTTTTAAGTGTAAAATACGTGAATTAATTAATCAATTATATAAATATATGATTCAAACCACAGTTAATCTTTTCATGTCTTCACCACGCTATCTCTACCGAAAGCTGGTATGAGCTGACCATTATTATGCAACCCGCTTTACACTAGAGAGTAGTGTGGTAGAGGCCAATTCATAACTAGAATGTCCGTTTAAAATGTTCCTGATATACACTTCCCAACAATTGAAGTGGATATTATGAAAATGTGTATTTTATTTTTTGTTCATAAGGTCAAATAGAAAAATGGAGTGATATAAATAAAGATTTATTTTACTTCTTATTTTCATACAGATGAACCGAAAGAAATTCTTTAAGAAAAAAAATAAACAAAAATTGTAAAATTAACAACTTAAAATTTCTATTCCTGCTCACTTTCTAATATCCCGAAAACAAAAATTAATAGTGTGTGGGTCCACTTCTGTGTCGCCTTAGTGCTCTAACTCTATTTGGAAGACCTCTTATTAAATTATTGATGAACTGCTGCGGTATACGTTCCCAAATCGCGCTTAATGTATTGGCCAACTGATCTAAGGTTTGGGGTGATTGAAGCCTGTTTTGTTGCCTAGACAGTTCGGCCCAAACATGTTCAATGCAATCCATATCAGGTGAACATGATGGCTACTCCATTCTTGTAATGACATGAGCTTCTATACACTCGTTGACAATTCTCGCACGGTGAGGGCGAGCATTATCGTCAATCAGAACAAATTGTTCGCCTATTGCACCAAAAAATGGAACAACTATTGGTACTATGACTCTGTCTCGATATCGTGTAGCAGTCATTGTCTCATTAATTAAGACAACTAAGTTCGTGCGACCGTCAAAACATATGCCTCCCCACACGCAAACGGATCCACCTCCAAAAAAAGTGGTTGGGACTCTTAGATTTTCATTGTAACGCTGTCCTTTTTTCCTCATCACCAATATTCGGCCATCATTCGTATACAAACGAAATCTGGACTCGTCAGTAAAGAGGCAATTCCTCCAATTTTCGAAATTCCACTGATAGTGTTCCATTGACTAGCGATATCTGCATGCACGCTGCTCCCTAGTTAGTCGTGGATGGGTAGCGTGTCGTTTGGCCCTTAAATTGGATGCACGTAACCGTCTTCTGACATTTTGACTGGAAATCGCTCGCCCAGTAGCATGCTTGAAGATACTGTTAATTCTGGAAGCCGTGAATGTTGGGTTTGTTCTTGCCGTCAGAACTATAAAATGGTCTTGCCGACGAGTAGATCGTTCTCTTCCTCCTCCAGCTTCTCTCCTCAAATCCTCTTGCTTGTATGTTGCAGATCCAGTTGCTACATACCGATTCCATGCACGACTTCTCACACTTTGCGATACATTTAGCTTCATAGCAACCTCTTGTGGAGTTATGCCTTGTTGGATCCAACGAACTAATTGCTCGAGATGCACTAGTTCTAAACGTCTTTGCGCCATAATGTTTTTGTGATAAATAAATTTCTTGACTTATTGACAACTGGTAAAGCCAATACAAGCACTTTTATACGAATGATATATTCATGTTTGGAACATTTCTCTCTTTGTACGAGTTAAGGGCCGATAAGAATAGGGAGAAAAAACCACATGCAAAAAATATTGGCAATAAAGATAGCATATAGAGTATAGTACAGGCAATTATTTTAAAAATAGTTTTATATGTTAATTTTAGGAATTTTAAAATTATCCACTTCAATTGTTGAGTAGTGTATAAATAACCTAACAAAACCTTGAAGTTGCTGGAAAGAACTATGCGAAAGCCTAGAAAATAACATCTGGGGAGACGTATATAAGATTGCAGCAAGAGAACTCAAAAGAGATCAACTTCTTTAAGATAGACTACAGCCGATGATGACGTAGTCAGTTTTGAATGTCAATAAGAAAGTAATTATTTTCTCTTTTTGACAAAATCAGCAAGACGATATTTCCTTCCCTGCATTTGAGTTTTTACTAGTAATTTTAGCAAACAATTATAATATTTATTTGTTTCATAATCTTACAAATCTTACAGTAGCGAAAAGCTTAATGCTTACTGTAGTCCTTTCAACCAGTTTTATTACCTTACCAGTTGAAAACGTGCTTAAATCCTCTATTGATCGGTCATAGCTTTGTTCAATTAGATAAAACCATGTGTTTTATATTTAGATAACTGAAACCGACATAAAAGCAGCGAATGATGAATATCAAGGCCTAAGCGATTTAGTTCTTTGGTCTCTTCCCGACAGTCTTCTACAACCGCTCTTGGTGCGTATGAGAATTGACATAAGCAACAACGCTTTCGATCAAGATGCGAAAAAATGGTTACTTAATGCAGATCCAGACTTAAAAAGTGTTATCAGTAAGGAGGCGCTTCAGTGGAAGAAGCCTTCACTCTCACAGGTTAGTAATGTTTAACAAACTTTTTTAAGTAATACATATAATTTAAGTTAAACGAGCAGAAAACCCAGACAATAGTAGTTAGTTCCGATAGATAGGTTAAACCATCTGTACTATGGGTACAAGGTTGAACTGGTCGCTCCATATTGAAGGATTGTGTAAGAAGCTCGACTCACAGATTTTGGTCATGCGCAGATTGGCTACTTCTGTGAGTCGAGATGTTCTTAGATCAGTTTATTTTGCAATGGGTCATAGTATCCTAGTATCTTGCATAATTCTTTGGGAAAACTCGTCTTATGCATATCAAATTTTTATTTTTCAAAAAGCAGCAATCCGAATTATTGACTCGGCAGAATATGGCACTAGCGATACCCTTGTTTAAAAAGTATGGCATTCTTCCTTATTAGGTTTCAGACGAGTGGTGAGTTCTTATATCGGTCTCAAGGTGGAGAAATAAAAGACAAAGTTGATAGGCTACTTTATCTATTTTGAAGACGTTTCGCTTTCGTATTCTGAAAGCATCATCAGTTCATCTAAAAAGTACAATATGAGAACCACACAATCATGGAAACGATGTTATAATTGTTACCTTAAAAAGACATGTAGCAGTCAAAGATATTTACAATTATGTGAATAAAATTCAAGTAAATGGACATTATACGGTGATATTGTATAAACAATCAAGTAACTAACAACATATAGCAACTTAAAAAATTAGCACAGCAACTGACCATGTGGTTTAAAGTAAATGAAATATTATTTAATCTTAAGTTGTGAAAAAGAACCAAGAAAATCATAGATATACTTCCAACTATTTAATAATTATTAAGCTTTGATTTTAACTTTAGGTAGCATTATAAGTGATATTAATAAAAAATTTATTTAAAAAGTAGTGTAAATGAAGTTACCGATCAAAGCCTTACAGCTGCCGCCGGAAAAATGGCGTTAAATGAACCAGAACGAACTAAACCGCAAAAAGACAGCCAATCTTGAGGTCAAAAATCTTTTGACATATCAACAAGCTGGAGGTACCACCCCAAATAGATGGGCGGTCAATATAAAAGTTTAAATGAGTTTGGATGACAACCCGCTTGTAAGAGACAAACCAATGAAAGAAATTGGTATTATAATAGCAACTCCTCGCATTAATCAGTCTAGAACTAACAAACAGGAGACTTTCATTCAACCTCATATATAAATCTTCTTCTTCTTCTTAGTCGTTAACCTGATGCAGGTATCGTGATATCATGAAGCTGTTAGGTAATTTTTCCAATGTTCCTCCACGTTTTTCTATCTTCTGCCAATCTAGCACATTCTGACAATGGAGCGCCAATGGTAGCAACAATATGGTCCGTGTATCGTGTAGGAGATCTACCTCTACTTCTTTTGCCTTCTACTTTTCCCTGGATGGTAAGTTTTTCAAGACCATTTCTTCGAAGCACATGTCCAAAATAGCTTATTATCTGTTCTGTTATTTGTGTTCTTAGTCTTTTCTTTATGTTTAGCTGGACCAGTATGGATTCATTTGTTCTTCGGGCCACCCATGGTATTCTCAGCATTCGTCTCCAGCAGTACATCTCAAATACATCTATGTTCTTTTTGTCTTTCTCAGTAAGGGTCCAGCATTCCGATGCATAAGTAAAAACTGGAAAAACTAGACTTCTTATTAGTCTCATTTTTGTATCGGTAGTAATTTCATGGCTTTTCCAAATTTTTGTTAATTTTGCCATAGCGCTTTTTGCGATTGCTGACCGCCGCTTTATTTCTTCAGTACAGCCTCCTTTGTTGGTTATTAATGAGCCCAGATACACAAATTTATCTACAACAGCGATATTGTTTATCCTAACCAGATGATTTTGATTGTTGTTAGCTCTGTCAATTATCATGATTCTCGTTTTATCCCTGTTTATTTTAAGGCCCATCGATAAGGTTACGTCTTCTATCCGTTGTAGCAGGTGAATCAATTCAGTTTCAGAACTAGCGAGGATAGTAGTATCATCTGCATATCTCAAGTTGCAAATCTTCTTCCCGCCAATGGTGATGCCACCGTTCCAGTCCTCAGTAGCTTTCCGCATTATCCATTCACCATAGATGTTAAATAAAATTGGGCTTAGTATGCAGCCTTGTCTCACGCCCTTTGTGACCCTGAAACTGTCAGTTAGTTCCCCATTTATTCTAACTCTGGCATAATTGTTATTGTACAGGCTTTTAATTAGCAGTATCAGATGATTAGGGACTCCCATTTCAGACAAAACCTGCCACATTTTACTCCAGTTGACCAAATCGAAAGCTTTACTATAATCTATGAAGCACAAATATGTTGTGATGTTGAATTCTCTGGATTTTTCTACAATCTGCCGTACGTTTAAAATTTGTTCTCTAGTACCACGTCCTGGGACGAAACCTGCTTGTTCCTCCGCAATGTTAGGTAGTAAAAAGGGCTTTATCCTCTCGAGAATTATGTGTAAGAGTATCTTACTGCAATGCGCAATTAGAGCAATTGTGCGATAGTTGCTACATAAATCTTTCGCTCCCTTTTTATGTATGGGAATATATAGTGATTGTGTCCAGTCCTCAGGCCATTTACCTGTCTCCCACACTCTTTGACAAATTTGATGTATTATATCCACTCCAACGTCATCTAGTGCCCAAATCATTTCAATAGGTATGTTATCTGGACCGGCAGCTTTTTGACTTTTTTGCCTCATAATTGCTGCTTCAACTTCACTTTTGAGTACGTCAGGTTCCGTCGCAAAACTGGCATCTTCTTGTTGTGATGGGGCGTCTGTGCTTTCCTCCATCATCAGTCGTCCACAGTATTCTTTCCATCTGTGTAAAATATCTTTTTTAGAAGTGAGTAGAGTTCCGTTATCATCTTTGATAGCAGGGTAGTTTGGTGTAAAGGAACGTGTTATCTGCTTTATTTTTTTAAACATGTCTCTGGTCTCAGTTTTGGTTTTATGCCCTTCTATTTCCATGCAGATTTTGTTCAAGTGTGTGTTCTTGTCCTTTTTGCAGAGTCGTTTTATTTGACCGTTCAGCGCTTTATAGGCCTCTTTATCACTTTCACTGTTCAGTCCTGTGGCTTTTAAGCACTTCCTCTCCTGTATTTTAGTCCACGTGGAATCCGTTATCCATTGTTTCCTTCTTTCTTCTCTATCACTCTTAATATTTTTCGCAGCATTATGCAATATCGATTTTGTTTTTGTCCATATGCTGTTTGAGGACTCGTCTGGATTTAATGATTGTTTGAGGTCACATAGCTTTTGCATTGCGGCTTTTTTGTACGGATCGTTATATCTTAGATGCCATTTAGTTGTTGTATTTCCTGTTTTTGGACTGTTTCTTAACTTCATGCGGAATTCAGCTGATAAAAATTGATGGTCGCTATTACAATCTTTTCCTGGATAGGTCTTAACATCCTTAACAGCGCTCCTCCAACGGGTTTTTACCAGTATAAAATCTATCTGATTTCTGTATCTATTTCCTGGTGATATCCAAGTGTATAGTCGTCTTGGGTGATGTTGAAAGCCTGTATTAGTAACAAACAGGTTGTTGTCTATACAAAAGTGTAGCAAGCGTTCTCCTCTGTCATTTCTTTGGCCAAGTCCATATAATCCGACGGTCTCTCGCAAGTAATGATCTTCTGTAGTTACACCAATTTTTGCGTTGAAATCGCCTACGACTGCTGTGATTTCTCTATTTGGAAGCTTCCTAAGCGTCTGCTCCAACGTACTATAAAATGTTTCGATTTCTTCATCGTGAGCTTCGCTTGTTGGGGCATATGTTTGTACCACATTAAGATTAACTGGACTGGCATTCATTCTGACAACAATTATCCGATCGCTGACGGTTATGTATTCTTTTACGGAGGTTTTAAAGGCATTATTTACTATCACTGCGACGCCATTCCGAGATTCGTTATCATTGCCGGAGAAATAAATATCATTGCCATTTTTTGACGTAAAATGTCCTTTATTTTTCCAGTGGGTTTCAGATAGACCTACAATGGCATAATTGTGGATCTCGTTTTCCACTACATCCAATTTTCCGGGTTCCAGCAATCCTCGAACATTCCACGTACCGATTTTAAGGGTGCTCCATATTTTTATGTTTATTCCAGACTCAGAGTTTCCATGGCGTGCCTGGTTTCTCACAACATCATGGCCGGTAGCCCATTTCACACCATCAGCCCCGGACGCTGATTGGCGCCAATTGCTAGTTGGATCGCTCGGCATACTGATATGTTTAGAGGTCATCTTCATGATAGTTCTTGGGGCAAAGTAACGCAGTGGGGCCCCACTTCCTTCTGCGTGGTAGAAAATAGTTTAGAGTAAGGAAAGAAAATAGTGACCCGTCCGCCCTCGGAAACCTAATAGCCAATCGGGGTCAGAAAAACAAGAGTTGGCCAAGAGAGGCTGATAGGAAAGATAAAAGACACTTTACTCAAAGACTAGTTGAAGAAGAGTAAAATGTATATATAATGCATATATAAATGCATATATAAATAATATAACATAATTCTAAAAAATTTAATAAATTAGCAAAACACTTCTTGCTGCAACACTGTTTCTATAGTATACAGGAATTTGTTTTTTTGAGCTCCTGGTGTGGTCGTTTTTATGAAAACTATTTTACACCTAACTGAATTTTTTTTATATATTTTTATATTTCTATTTTTCACTGTATATGTTATATTATGTGTTCTTGTATTATTTCTTAGTTATTTCCTACGTATAAATAAGTAACTTATTTATATTGTGACATGACATGTAGTGTGAACTATGTAAAAATTGTCAATATACATATCTCTCTATCTATATCAAGAACAAAATTTATTATTTATATAATTTATTCATCTTTTTTTTTTGAGATATTTAATTGACTTTAAATTTCATAGGAAGAAAATACTATTCGATATAAGGCAAAACAACAAATTTCCCATGTACTCGACGATATGGCCAATGCGATGAATAAGTTAGTGATATTGGATGAACAATGGCCGAATATACTACACAACTTTATTCAAAATAACTTACTGGATTACTCACAGTTAGATTTATATATGAAGCAAAAAATGCAAGAATTGAGTAAGTGATACACACTGCCATGTACTTCAAGGAAACTATAATTAGCTGATGGATTTTTTAATTTATAACAAATGGTCTTACAATTGTTAGGTTATAGAAAAGAAGCTAATAAACATTTATAATTCAAAATAATACGTAATATTTTGTTACATAACTAAAAACTACTTATGTTTTTCTGCTAAAAATTCTTAAAATTATAAGTTTAAACTTAAAATATCGATTTTTCTGCTTCTAACAGTAATTTAAACTCCCAGGTGAATTGTACTTTTACAAAGTACTTGCATTTATATATGACAAATACTTGTGCCTGCCCTGCACCAACATTGCGCCAATAATTAATTAGTAATTAACTAATTACGTAGTTTTGAATTAAAAACATTAGAAAAATCATAAAATGTCAAGTAATGTCTGGCAAATATTCAATGAAACTATAAATCACAAATCACTCTACGTAAGTAGCCAAAAGTAGCCGAAATCACGTGTCTATCATGCATTCTCGGAAATTTTGCATTCGATCATTGGCGGCGCGTAAGAAAATATGTTTCCTTGCTGATCACTATACATTGTAACAATATAATATTATATTTCTGCTTATAATAATAAAAATAATACATTAGATCTAGTTTATAAAATAAGTTTTCATTCACATTAATAATGTGTAGACTGAGCGGATGTGCGAAATTGACTGTTCACCTAAAGATGAATAATACTCAAATTAGTATATTCTTTTAATTCAGAACGATATTCAATTATTTTGTCTGTAAATAGAAAGAGTGCTATCAACCGCAGATGCTTGTTTGTTTGTATGTACATAATGTCTTTTAAAAGCATGCCAAAACGTGTTTATTTGGAAGAAGTTATACATCGAGTCAAGCATGACATGAATCATATTGTTACAAATACAATACTCCCCTCATATAATTCAACGTATTGCGTTTACGGTAGTAAACAGAACGAAACGCAATTATTAAGATTAAAAGTTTATGCCTGAGAAAAATTTAATTTCTTTTAGTGTCAAATAACCGAGGAGTTTATTTAATAACGGAATTAATCAATGAGATTAATGAGATTATGTCGAAATTTGTTTACACGGCAAAATCAAGACACAACAGATGAATCAAGCAGATTGCAATTACAAAATGAAGCAAATACTTTCTTTTTATAAGCGTCAATGAAAAACTAAAAATTTCGTCAAAGGAAGAACTGGAATACAAATTAAACGTTTAACTTGCATGGTATGGAACAGCAATGATAATAGCCCAACAAAACGAAAGAATTTGCTGCTTCAGAAATAACGAATTGTAAATGTTTTCCGTAAGGCTTTTATGACCTGGAAACCAGTTTTATGCAACAGAAACCTGTCAATGAACATTCGTAAGAAGGTCCTGAAATGTTATGTGTGGTCGATCCTATTGTATGGTTGTGAGACATGGACGTTAAAAACCACAATGCTAAACAAGTTAGAAGCATTCGAAATGTGGTGCTATAGACGAATCCTAAAGATATCGTGGGTTTCGCACACTTCCAATGAAGATGTTCTTCAAATGATCAACTCAGAACGTCTGCTCATAAACATCATAAAGAGTAGAAAAACAGAATACTTCGGCCATATAATTAGAGGACCCAAATACCATTTACTTCGCCTTATAATACAAGGAAAAGTGGAAGGAAAGAGATGGATTGGTCGAAAGAAACTTTCATGGCTGCGTAATATTAGACAATGGTGTGGTTTCACAGTAGAAGAATTATTTCGCGCAGCAGCCGACAGAGAAAGGTTTCAGGAAATTGTAAGCATGATGACGGCCAACGTCTGAATACGGACACGGCACCCAAAGAAGAAGAAGAAATGTTTTCCATGCTGTGATTTCAAACGTTACTTCTTTTTCATGGTAGTTTTTTTGGAATCGATGGTATAATTTTAACTTCGTTTGAAAAGATATACACAAAGGCCCCTGGAAATCACCAGACGGACTTACACTAAATATGATAGATTATTATATTGTAGACTCAAGACCCCAAGCCAGTATAATAAACTTTCGCACCAGAACAGGAGATCTGTGGTACTGGATCGAAAGTAGGGTAAAGGCCAGAATTTTAAACGTCTATAAAAGGACATATGTTGTAAACATGAACGATGCAATGTATAAGGATTTAAAAATACAAACAAAAATAGAGAATATAAACAAAACATAAGCATCAAACTAGAAAACAGACTAAAACATAAAACATCAATGAAGAGTGGGAAGAGTACAGAAAGTTCATTAAAGAAGCTGCTGAAGAATTACTAGACATGAAAGGTAAGGTTTAGACGAAGAATATCAGATTATAACAGAGAGCATATTTAATGGTGCAACAGGGGTACAGAATCCGACAAGCAGAGGAGGAATATAATTAACTACGCAAGGAAGAAAAGAAAATCCACCGCAGAAAAAAGAGAGAAACTATGAACAAAGAACTTCAAGACCTACAAGATATAAGTAAGTTATAGAGACGAGAAAATTTGTAGCAGAAACGAAACATAGGCAGAAAGGAATTCAAACAAAAAAGTAAAGAGATAAAGAGGTTAATATATTGACAAAACAGCAAGAAAAACTAAGAAGGTGGAATTCCTGAATGAGCCCGAAAATGTTTTAGATTATATTGATATACTAGATGTTCGTTTTTAATACTCCATTTAATATTTATTATAAAAATATTGCTTTTTAATTATGTCTTCTTAATATGATTTACGCCCAATAAAAAATAAATTATACAATAACTTACGCGTATGACCCATTTCATTATTTCTTTGCTGTGTATAATAAACGTTGATTGTCTTTCATTTTCTGCATTTAAATCACAAATCTTGAGTACGCCTCTTCAAGCATTTTCTGCAAAAGCTTCAATGATGCATAGCAACATTCAGTCTCATGAAAATGGTAAATTGTATTCCTAATAAACTGCTTGTCAAGTTCATTAGGAATATAATTTCTGACTGTCAACCGTCTCTTTTCTATAAAATAGTTTCTAGTACGCGTATGAGACTGAAAAACATAATGAGATTGAATTATAAACTCGATGTAAATCCACTGGAAAGAAATTTTCGAAAAATTAGTAAAAAATTCCAGAAAATCCAAACCACTACAATGAAAAAATTTTTTTTATCCAAATTGTAAACACAATACATTTAATCAATTATTTGAATTGTTTTTTTATTTGTTACATTGTAATAAATGCTTTTTTGCTTTATTTGTACTCATTGTCATTTTAACTACATGGTAAGTCGACTCTGGTACGGCATAAGAAATCGTAGCGAAAAACACCGTGCAGCGTTATGTGATTTATATAGACGCAAGTAATAAAAAAAATTAATAATGTGTTTGGCGATCCCGTAGCTGAATACACTACTGTATACGTCTAGGCATTGACAAAATGAGATGATCGATGTCTGCTTGTGGTACTTCGTTCCAAGCAGCTTGAACTTCATGTATTAACTGTGCCAGAGTCTGTGGAGGATGGTGCAAAGTGGATAGTCTTCTTCCCATCATATCCCATACATATTCGAACTAGCGGAAGCACTGTTTCCGCAAAGAGCGGAAACTTTTGTACTTGCCATTTTTAAAATGTATCTGAAGGATCTGTTCAAAACAGCATTGTACATAGTGGTCATTGTTATCGCACATCTGGTATTATTCATAAGCATAACATAAGTTACAATCCTGCTCTCTTAAATTTAAGTTTTTAGAAAATGTTTGCATTCCTATGACCTATTGATAAATACAAAAAGTTTAATCTTCAGCTAAATAGGTTTCCTTGATGTATGTTTAATATATTATGTACCTTATTATATTTAGAATTAAGCACTTTTGCACAGTTACTTATTTTGATAAAAAACTATGTATTCATTTTGTTGTTAAACATTTGAGAAGAACATTTTTAAAAAAGATTCTTTTTGTTTTTATCCTTCCACCTGTATTAAGTTTTCTCTACAAACATATTAATAACGAACCAAATTAATAATACAAAACAAACTTCTCGAAACCGACCATCTTTCTTATTATTAATACGTCCCTGACAGAATGCTTGAAAATGACAAGCTATAGTGGGACCGCACTGTGCTCACAGACCAACCAGTGGAGCATAATAGACCGGATCTCATACTATACTCGGTTCACAATTTGTTGATAGCTCACTACAAGTTTAATCCTAATTAGAGAACTGAAATACAGAGAGGATAGGTAATACGATATAATAGTAAAAACCAACCTGAAACTGACGATTTAAGATGTTTTCGACTAACCCACCTTGTATCTGCCGGAATACAATACAGCGGTCAAGCTTATAATCCGATTAGGAACGTATTTTGGCCGACCAGTGTCGTAGAGTATATGATTGAAACATTTATTTGAACTAAATAAATATATTTTTTAAATTGTATTTTTGTTTTAGTAAAACTTATAATACAATAAAATATTTTATTCAAAAATAAAGTTTTTTGCCATTTGTAAAAGATACATTTATTTAATTAAGGGGAAATGCACCAAATGTGTTTTAAATGTATCCATTATTTTCGAATTCGGAGAAAACTAATAAATATTTTTGAAAAATTTAAAAGCAGAATGAAAGATTACATTATTACTGAGGGTATTATATATGTGTATACTGATGTATATTACAGAAAGTCCCTGAAAACTTCTACAATGTTTATTTTATTATGTTATGCAACAGGGGTGAAAATAAAAGAGAGAATATAGTATAATTTTTAATTGAAAATATTGCATGCAAAAGAAACTTTTTATTTATTCTAATAAATATTTTATTCAGCCTTTAAATTTTTCCAAAAAGGCTTTTTAGTTGAACATTGAATATTTTGACAGGCGACGTTTTGCGCCTCTCCCCTTTAATACCTTACGATTACAACTACTATCACTTACCTTATATAATTACGATTAGAAAACTATTCAAATTCAAAATAAATAGGATCAACTTCAAGATCCGAGTCGTCTTGAGGGTTAATAATTAGCGGTTGTGTCTCTACGGTCGCATCAATTATGTTATCAAGATCCCACATTTTTTGTTCTTCTTCTATTACATGTCTTACTGCATCTTTCCAGTTTTGTTCTGTAATGTGTTGTAAAGACTCGTATAACAATTCACGTACAGCTTGTATTTTATATGACGTATTTTTTCTAGCCACATAACTTTTCATTTGTGCCCAAATGAGTTCAATTGGATTTATTTCGCAGTGGTAGGGTGGAAGTCTAAGGACTGTGATGTTTCTCCTTTCCGCCATTTTGTCAACTACGTATTTCTTGAACTTAGATTTGTGTTGCCGGGCAATTTTTAAAAGTTCTGCTTTTACCATTCCATCTTCGTAAGGCAGGTACTTATTCCGCAGCCAGTCAAGAATATCCTGTTTTTTCCACGCAGTCGTTGGAAGTCTTTCTACTAGTCGTGAATGATAAGGTGCATTATCTAATACTATAATTGAATTTGGTGGTATGTGTTCAATCATTTGCACAAAATACTCTTCGAAAACATCAGCTGTCATCTCCTCGTGATAGTCTTTTGTTCTTTTGGACTGAAATTCCAACA